TTGGGTTACTGCTGGTAATCCTATCTTCCTCTTGTAGGATTAGAGGAGGTCAGAACATGTGGCCTCCTTGCCATTTTTGCAGTATGTATATATGTATGCATGTGTGCTGTGTATCAAAAAACTTGTCATTAGTAGTAACTACTACAAAACACTTAGCAAAGAGGAAATACGTAATATATATATCATTTTAAACATTTTGTTTCTATCTCAATTATTTTCTAAAGATGTCAAAGGAAAAATTAGCAGTGTGCTGCTAATATTTACTTCTAATGTTTAACTTCATGAAGAAATAGCCAACCAATACAAGCTCTAAAAGTTTACTGAACAATGTTTTCAAACTTGAATTTTAAAAAAATAAGTACGTTTTCCATTCCCTTGAGACCACTGAATGTATGACCATAAAGAATTTTAAATATCAGAAATTGTAAGCACTTACCAAAAGGAAGGAAAGCAGCTACAGAATCTAGGGTTTTGAGCCTGCAGCACTAAGGGACTCAGCTAACAAAACCACCACCTTAATATAGTGAATGTTCAAACACTCTCTATTCCCCAATTGATACACAGATTCAATGCAAAATCCTATCAAAATCCCTATGTAGAAATTGAATACTCATTCTAAAATTCATATGGAAATTCAAGGGACCCAGGAAACCCTAACAATCTTAGAAAAGAAGAACAAAATTAGTTGATTCACACTTTCCATTTCCAAAAATTATTACAAAGCTATAGTAACCAAGACAGCATCTACTGCATAAGGATAAATACAGTTCGATGGAACAGAATTGAGAGTTTAGAAATAAATCCTCACATTTATGTTTAACTGAACCTGATTATGTAGCCACTGACAAGCCACGGTAAGACACACGCATGTTAATTACATTTGTTCTTTTTAGTTTGTGAGTTTTCTGGTTCTGATTATTTCTCTCCTCATTGGCCCACATATACATCGTTTATGTTCATTTTTCTCCTTACTTGATTTTTTAGCAATACTTGAGAATGTTTTCATCGGATGGTATAATTAATGTTATGTGTCAACTAGGCTTGATTCTTAATGATTTGGCAGACACTATAATCATCTTCTGCTTTGAGAACTGATGTGAGCAGCCAATCAGTTGAAAGGGGAGTTTCCTTGGGGACAAACCTGCCTCCAGTATATAACTGAATGTTCTGGCAAAGCTCTCTCGATCCTGCACGGTTCTTGTCACCTGACGTCCAGTTCATGGGCCATGAGTTAACAGAAGCCTTCAGCTTGCTGCCTGACCTGCAGATTTTGGGTTTGTCAGTGTCTGCAACCATCTGGGCCAGCAGATGCCTTGAGCCTACCATCCAATCCATGGACTTGGGACTTGTCAGCCCCTACAATTGTGTGAGCCATTTCCTTGAAGTAAACCTCTCTGTCTATATTCATAAAAACCAATGGGGAAAAAAGAAGGTGAATTCAAATAGTCTAGGCATTCTGTTTGCAAAAGGTTTTATAATAAAGTTATTTGAAACAAGGGGTCAAAATGAAATTAAAGCAATTGCTGTAATTTTATTTAATCATTCTGTTTCTCTTCTAATTTCTCCCCCAATAACGGAAGATATACACACAAATCTCCTAATGTCCTAAGCTTCCATGGCAACCACGATCTAGAATAGTAAAAAATCAAGCCCAGAACAGCTTAAAAAATGTATCTCATAGGGAAACCGGCTTCTGAAAACTTGCCCTTTGTATAGTATTCATGAGGTCTGATTTAGTTGTATTTTTTCAGAATAACCAACACAATGGACACAATCAACTATATTTACACCTAGGTTTAGAGAAGATTGAGATAAGTCTATTTTTATATTCTGTGCATTCCTTGAGGAAAAGCAGAATCTGAAAATAGCAACATGGAAATCAGCCAAATAATGGCATTTTGAGAATAAATAAAGAGAATAAAACCTTTCAATTATATAAAGTTTCTTTATCTCTCTACTTAAAAATCTTATGATATAGAAGATATAAATAAAAATAAGCATACAGTTAAACTACTATGCATCCAGATGCTTCAATTAGTCATTAATCACAATCTGCAATTTTCTCCTCTTTGGGCCTTATTATTTCCAGAAACCACCTCATGTGCTGTTCTGGGACTCTAGCACACGTGAACGTGCATGTTCATTTGTTTCACTGTATTCTACTGCTGCATTTTGCAATAAATGAATGTAATGATATAGCCATTATTCACAAATGAAAATATTCACTGTATTTTACTCTTCTTAACAGTAAAAAATGAAACTACTTCATTATAATACAACTCATCTCCACCCACCCTTTACAGTCAGCTTTATGCGTTAACTATAGATGTGAATCTGGTAGAGTAGTGCCTAAGGCACTTGACTGTTAACCAGAAGGCCGGTGGTTCAAACCCACCGGCCACTCCTTGGAAGGACGATGAGGCAATCTACTTCCGTAGTGATACTGCCTCGGAAACCCAAGGAGGGGTCGCTATGAGTCGGGTCTGACTAGACGGCGCATAACAACAACAACAACATAGATGTGAATTGTTAACCACAGGGCACTGGGTGCTTGGAACACCCTCCAGGAGCTTTCTTCCCTCCACCACCTACATCATAAATTCTTTCAGCTTCTCTGTCAGAAAAAGGCTGCCAGGTGAGCAGTCTATCACTCCTGCCCAGCCTAACATTCTCCAATGGCATCTGTTAGAGTTCATGTCATGTTATTACAACAATGTGCCCTGAAAATGGTTTAACAGTGTAACTGAATCTTGTCCACTCTAGATAACCAGACTCTAGCTTCAGAAGCCGATGCAGATTAGGGAGACAATATCAATATGCAAATCACAACGGTCTCCTTTCAGCACTACTCTTCGTACCTCTAACGGCCCGCGCAGGAAGTCTGTCTGTTCGGCTCCTACTTCCAGAGCTACATCAACAGAAGCAAAGGGACGGCTGGCCATCTGCTGTCGTTCTCGAAGCAGTTGCTGGAGGGGGTTAAAAAGGATTTGCTTTAAAATAGGTTTCAAACAAAACATTCAAACCAACAAGATCTAGTTTCATTTTTCAACAAATGGCACTCAAGACTTAGGAAGCATTTCCTACACATATCCGTACCCAGAGCATTACAGATGAAAACTGTTTTCTCTCCGTGGCCTGGGTTCTATTTCCATGGGGCTTTAAATGTATGGTACTTACAAGAACCTCTCTCCTGACCTCCGTTTCACAGGCCTAATGAAATGTACTCAAAAGCACTTTGCAAACCTCAGGTGGGAGGTGTTGCTTAAGCAAAAAGGGCTATGAGATGATGATGGCTATGCCATGTTTTCCCACTCAAAATAACCCATGCTTTTTTTAAAGCTGAAAGCAAATAACAGTAAAAAATGTTTAAGAAAAGATAATGAAAAGCTGTCAAATTACATTAATAGAGATTAAAGGTATATAAACCTGCCAAGACTAAGTCTTGCAAGTCATCAAGATTGCCTGTCAACTGCCAAGGAGCCAGCAGGAATCGTTAGCGGCAGTCTTCACAGCTTTAAGCAAAGCCTCTGTGTTCATCACTTAAAAATGAGGAGCCATTAGTAGGTTGTGGGCATTTTGTGCCAGGGCTTGTAAAGCCCCCTGAGATATTTATTTCTTTCTCCCTGCGTCTATTCTGAGCTTTGCTGGAGCTAAAAGACCAGCACTAGATATTGCAAATCTTGCCCCTCTCATTCTACACAGCTAATAAAATTATTATTAAATATTAAAAGTGGATGAGCAATGCAATTAAATACTCTTTCAAATGAGAAGAAAATCATATCATTGAAGAAAGGCAGCATCTTTGAACACAATGAATGGCTTCATTACTCAGAGAGATTTTTAAAGATTCACCAGCGTTAACTTAAACCATTAAAGACTGGTCTTTAGATATAAATATATGTGGCCCTGTAATGTGTCATAAAGTCCCTTTGTGGATAAGGAAGGAACAGAAGCCAACGCCTGGGGGCTTCATAGTCTTTATTTTAACACCCGTGACACCGCAGTGACAGTGTTCCCGAAATGACAGTCTAACATGTAACTAAAGGCCTTGCTTCTTTATTATTAAAGAGGGAACATCACACAACAATATTGGGATAAAAATAATACAACTGTTACTGAGTGATAGCTTTAAGTTCTTAAGTTATGTTTTCTTTAGAAGTGATGAAACCCCGTTAAAAAACATACTCCACATAAAAGTGTAATCGAAAACAACAAATGACTCCCTTTATTACAAACTGAAAATTGTATTATAAAATACACCTTCCCTCAAATAGAATGAGCTTTGTATCTCTCCCAATAGGAATGGCCTATAGACCTGAAGATGGTGTTTATGTAAAATTGCAAATATAATGTTACTTCAAGAGATACTACATTTAGAAGAAGCAAGGGTCTTTGTTTCTGATAAAATAAACACACTAAGACACACCAATAACTCACTGCTGTCAAGTCGATCTGACTCATAGTGACCCCTCCTTGGGTTTCTGAGGTGGTATCACTACGGAAGTAGATTGCCCAATCTTCCTTCCAAGGAGTGGCTAGTGGGTTTGAACTGCCAGCCTTATGGTTAGCAGTCAAATGCCTTAGGCACTATGCCACCAGAGCTCCCAGACACACCAATACACACCCATATATGCACAATCACTAAAAGAAAAAAAAAAGCCCAACTCTCCCATAATAATATAAAAATAGCCATAAGAAAACTGTAAATTCTGAAAAACATATGGTTACATACGTATGTGTACAGGTAGGTACAGATGTGTTCATGTATGAGCACAGATAGAAATATCTGTAAGTCGTGTACATGCAAATGTATGTGTGAAGGCACATATAGTGAGAGAGAACACAGTTACATATAATTCTCAGACAGAACCAAACACCTTGTGAGACTTATTTTCTGGGTTTGAAGGCTTAGGTCCTTAGTTTCATGGGAAAACTCAGCCAACTGGCATAATATAGTTCACAAAGTTCATGTTCTGAATCCTAGGGAGGTGAGTAGCACGTAGGGTCTTCAAAGCTTGCCACCAGCCATCTAAGATACAACCACTAGTCTCTACTCATCAGGAGCAAAAGAGCAGGAAAGAAACCAAAGTCTCAGAGAAGAAACTAGTCTGCAGAGCTAATAGCCTACATCAGGCATGGCCTCTGGGATCAGAACTAGATGATGTCTACCAATCACTAGCAACCTACCTACCAACCATTCTGATCAGGGCTACAACAGTTGGGCCCTGACAGAATGGGAGAAAAATGTACAACAGAGTCAAAATCTTAGGAAATCCAGACTTCCAGTTGGGACTAGAGGACTCTCTGAGATTACCACCTTTGCACTGAAACTATTCCTTGAGGTCACCTTTTAGTGAAATAATAGAGGGGCACACAGAAGAAAGGTTAGTACCAGCTTTTACTGGAGTGTGATACTCCATTTAAAAAAATAATAATCTATATAGAGATCAAAATGGTAACAATTACTCTAACGCAAAGATGAGAAGATGAGGAGGTGGGGAAACTAGAATACTGGAAATGGTACAACCAGAATGCAGTTAAAAAAAATGTTGACACATTGTGAAAAATTAACTAATGTCATTGAACAATCTGTACAGAAATTGTCCAATAGGACCCTAATTTATTGTGTAAGCTTTCACCAAAAACATAATAAAATATTATTTAAAAAATAAAGAAAACTATAAATTCTAGTTTGGGTTTGAAGAAAATTCTCTAATAGATAAAGGCAAACAATTAGTTCTCAGCTTATAAATGGTATTTCATGGGAGGAAGTGATTTTTAGCAAAATGAAAAGCTTATCAACTTGACTTTTGTTTCTTCATCTTGACTTTTCCATACACCTAAGGCAAAAGGTCTATAAAATATAATTAATGGGTACTGAATACCACCGAGTTTTAAATTTCTTTGCCAGCTGCAGTGTTCTGAATCTATGTTGTTTCTGTTGTTAGGGGCCGTCAAGTCGACTTTTGCCTCATAATGACCCCACGTGACTGAGCAGAACTGGCCTGTAGGGCTTTCTAGGCTGTAATCTTTCTGGCAGCAGATCACCAGGGCTTTCTCCTGCAGAACCACTGGGCGAGTTTGAACTTCCAACCTTTTAGTCAGAAGCCAAGCGCTGAACTGTTTTGCCACTAGGGGTCCTTTGTGAATTTATAAATATTCCAAATTCACTGACAAAAATAGAGTTCCCTGGAATATCATGCGTTATTTTGACCCTCAACATTCATAATAAACAATCAGTAACTGATACTTTTATTCAAATTATTTTTATTGATTTGTAGAATGCAAAGGTATTTTAAAGATCCTAGTTTGTCTCCTGAGCTTCTGAGTTTTATCACTTCTTATGGATTGAATGCCTATCATCGTATATGCCCAGTTCTTTGCTGAAAAAAAAAAAAGACGATGAAGAAGAAAATCATTGTTTTTGCCCAGGACCTTAACACTATAATTTAAAGAACAAGACATAGTAAAATAAAAATAATTAGGGCACACTATCGTACACAATAAAGGGTTCAGACACAGGATCAGCCAACTGAATTCATTCCAGGCTATTCAGCAGAGCACCGGTTAGAGGACTGTTGCCAACAGAGCCACGTTTCAGACTTTGGGAAACTGATGCACAAGTTCTTACTGCAAATCTCACGAAGGGCAACTCCCTCCCTTCTAAAAATCTCTTGCTTTGGTGTGATGACCTACAAGTAATAAGGTAAGAGCAAGTGGGATCTCCCCTTCCATGAACCTCTAGGTTAGCCCTTTCTCTTGGCAGTTAACGTCCGGTTAGCATTACTTCCCCCATTTTGCCTCCTCTACAGCAGTACAAAAGATGTAAACGACATGCTTATGATTTAAATCTTGTCAAAATTTAGTATCAATGTTGACAGGCAATATAACTAGACTGGAGGAAGGAGACGTGGAATTAAATGCCAGTGTCTCTACTTTCTAGCTCTTTGTGTTTAAACAAATCATTCAGATCATGCTAAAGCTCAATTTTTCTCATCTGTAAAGTGGGGATAAGAATAGCACGTCTGTCTCAGAGAGCATGTTTTGAGTTCTATCTTTCAGCAATTGGACCGGGATCAAATTACTCAGGCCTTCCTAAGGCTAATTTCTTTCTCATCTATAAAATGCAGATAATAATATCTGTAAGTCGTAAGGTTGGGACTGAAGAGCTAATGTCAGGGAGCTGCTTGGCACCAAAGCTGGCACACTGAAGATTCCATAACTGCTAACTGGTGTGATTAGTATATGAAATTTCAAACACTCATTTTGTCTTTGAAGATGGCACACTAATTACCACAGGCCCATTTTCCTCAGCACTAGTGACACATTTTGCTCTACTAGTCTCCCTTTTAACAAATGTTGCAGATTTACGCGACAGTTGGAAAATGCCATGATTGGGGTAAAATGAATTAGATTTGGAACTTCGTTTTGCCATTCATGACAAAGAATGATAAAAACACAACCTGAGACTTAGGAGGAAATACAGAGTACTTTCTTAAGACATTCTGAAAATTAATTTATTTTCTGCGATTGAATTTTTATATATAAAATGAGGTTTAATACTATGTACATCCGTAAGAAGCCATGTAACAGATGTATCTGTTTTATAATTATTCTGCTATTGCCAATTATTCAGCAGAAAGATAAAGCCAAGAGAACAAATTGATCGTAATAACAATAGATTATAATCATGCTGCTATAAAAACTGTTGTGAAGAAAATTAAAAAATTAAAGAGATGCTCTGGGTGTCACGTTCATTGTTCGTAATAGCTGTTTCATGATTCAAAATCTCTTACAAAACAAACCATGGATTAAAAAATACATAAAAATCTATGCTGAAATATGAAAATCACCATGTATACTAAGTCTTTCAAATGTATGTATCAATACATATAATTCTCCCACTCAATATTATTCCTTTTAATATTGTATCATTCTCCAAAGGTTATAATAGCTGCCATTTCCA